TGTGGTCCTCTTTGGATTCCTTTTGTTTGGGGTTCTCTGCGCTTCTTGGACCTGTAAGTCCATTTCTTTCACCAGGTGGGGGAAGTTTTCTGCCATTATTTCTTCAAATAGGTTTTCAATATCTTGCTGTCTCTCATCTTCTGGCACCCCTATTATTCTGATGTTGGTACGCTTGAAGCTGTCCCAGAGGCTCCTTACACTATCTTCGTATTTTCGGATTCTTTTTTCATTTTGCTTTTCCGGTTGGGTGTTTTTTGCTTCTTCGCATTTCAAATCTTTGGCTTGATTCTTGCGCTCCTCTGGTCTGCTATTGGGTGTAATATTCTTTATTTCAGAGCGTGTATGCTTAATTTCTAGTTTCTTTATCATAGCATCGAGGGTCTCATTAGTTTTCGTGAGGCTCTCCAAAAGTTTATTGCAAGCCCTCAAAATTGCGTTTTTTAGCTCTATATCCTCCATTTCTGTCATGTTTTTTTGTCTCCGCATTTTTTATGCTTTCTTGGTGCACCCCCTAGTGGTCTTTGTGCGCAGTCTTGTTCTAGTTGAGCCTTGATTGTTGTAGTTAATACTAGAGGGATTTGACCACCAGGCCGACTGGCTGTGTGAATCAGCTGTGTCTGCCGCGGAAAACTTCTGTCCTCTGGGGAGGTGCTAATCTAGCCTTTGCCTGAGGCGATCCGGCAAATGGCTCTGCGCAGGGCTTGGGCGGGGCGGGCTCAACAGGGCGGGCGGAGGGAGCCGTTATGGTGCCCTCAGTCCTGTTCCCAGAGGCTCTGCTTCTCAGAACCCCCGGAACCGCTGCAAACCTCGGAGGGAAAGCTGCCTTCCAACTGATGCCAGACACTCCCGCTTCTCCCGTTTGGGTCCGAGTCCCCAGCGATTCGCCCGTATCTGGAGCTCAGAGTCTGAGACTCCCCCCTGACCGAAAACGACAACCGCGCTCTCAGCCACCAGCCCGCTTTGCGCGCGCACCTCCGCACCTGAGTATTTTCCACACTGCGCCTCCTCTGAGCCTCGGTATGCTGTTGTCTTTCCTTCTAGTTGAAGAGTCTCTCCTCAACCAGCCTTCCTGTGGTTCTGGGTGATGTCCGTTCCGTCTTTTAGTTGTATTTTTGAAGTGGTTGTTTGCGGCAGCAGTCTCCGGTGTTTACCTATGCCACCATCTTCTCTTGTCAAAAATGTTTTTCAAACTCCTATAAAACCCAATAACTTGACTGTAACTGTTGAGGTCCAGCCCCATCAGGTCCAGGCGTTCCCAAAGGTGTGGATGGAGTCGGCGAAGAAGGAATGACTCAGAGGCAGAGTTCAGTTGATCAGCATAGTTGGGTTCTCCAGCCAGGTTCTGTCTGGACCTACGTTTCTTACCTCTTGAGTAGAAACCTAGGAGTAGGATTGCTAGGTCACGTGGTAAGCGTGTGTTTAACTTGGTAAGACATTGCCTGCTTCCCAAATGCACTGTTTGGCTGCCCCATTTTCTGCTCCCACCAGCAGTGTGCTCCTGTTTCTCCACATCTACACCAACACTTGTCATTCAGGGTTTACACTATAACCATCCTGATGGGTGTGTACTGGTATACACTTCCAGTTTCCTAATGACTAATGATATTGAACACTTTACATATTATGGAAATATGACTCGGCAATAAAAAAGAGACACATGGATAAACCTTAAAAAAATGCTAAGTGAAAAGCCAGACTTAAAAGACCACAGTCTGTATGATTCCATATAAGTGAAATATCCAGAAAAGGCAACATTTTAGTGGTAGAAAGCAAATGATTAGTTGCCTGGGGGTGGAAATGACCGAATGGGCACAAGGGAACTTTTTGATGTGGTGGAAATGCTTTAAAACCGGTCTGTGGTGATGGTTACACAACTTTATAAATCTTCGAAAAATTAAACTCCATTCAAAATGGGTTAATTTAATGTTTTGTTATTCATACTTCAGTATAGCTAAAGAAAAACAAAACTAATTCATAGTTGAACTATCAAGGAGTAGTAGTAAATCCTTAGAGCCAGAGAGAGACAAGAAAGGAGCTCAGTGGAAGGTGGAAAGTAGACCTGTGACTGCCTTGGGGGTGGGAGAAGGTGGAGGATTGAAGCTGGTAATGAGGAGGATTGGGTCTTGTCACCTGTGAGTTTCCTAAGGCTGCTGCAACACATTATCACAAAAAATGGGTGGCTTCAAATAACAGAAATTTATTCTCCCACCGTTAGGGAGGCTAGAAGCCCAAAGTCAAGGTGTTGCTAAAGCTGGCCTCAGGGCTCCAGGGAGTGTGTTCTCTGCCTCTCTCAGTGTGTGGTGCTGCCAGCAGTCCTTGGTGTTCTTGGCTTATATATTGCATCACTCCAATCTCAGCCACTGTGGTCACATGGCATTCTCTCCTATGTCTCTGGTTCTTCTAACAAGAACATTATTTAGATTAGGGCCCACCCTAATGACCACATCTTAATTTTGATTACATCTGTAGTGACCAGTTTCCAAATAAGGTCACATTCACAGGTGCTAAGGGGTCAAGACTTCAACATACCTTTTGGGGGAACACAATTCAGCCCATAACATCACTCATAGCAAGGAGAGAGAGGTAAAGTCTTAGGCTAGCTCAGGACAGGGAGTTAGAACTGAGATTTCTGCAACACACAGTGAGTGCTGGGATTCTAGTCATCCTGGCAAACATCATTGATTGCCTCTTGCACATCCCCTACTGGAGATTGAGCTCAAAACCCAGGGCATGTGCTCAAAACCCAGGTATCGAACCCGTGACCTCCTGGTTCATACATTGGTCGACGCTCAACCACAGCCACACTGGCTGGGCTGAATCATGTTTTTTAAAAGTCCCATACTTATATGTAAACTTTTAAAACGTGTGCTATACATAAAACTAAATATGCATAGAGAAAAGGTACTCTATAACACGATTGTCCTTCATACATTTCAACACTTTATTTTTAAAGAAATACGACTTCTTAAACGAAAATGTTTTAAATATCTTTCAGTGCACAGGAAATTAGAAAGGAATGTTAATCCTGATTATCTTGATTATCTGAGTGGAGTGATTGTGAATGACATCTTTTCTAAGTTTCCTGCACTGAGCAGTGTATATCCATCTGGGCCTTCCCCCAAACCCTCACCTGAGCTGCCTTCTTGCTGAGTCTGGAGGTCTCTAGCGCCCTCTGCGGAAGCATCTCTCCATTTTGCGTTTATCAATTTGGAGAGTGCGGGTGAATCTGATTTTGATTCAGTGGGGGTGGGGCCAGGCCTGGGATTCGACATTTTTCATAAATGCCCATGGGAAGCCGATGCCGCACACACCAAGCGGCAGGGCTAGCTGCGAATTCTACCACCCCAGGACCACCGGGTCGGCCTCAGACATAGGTCGGGCGCTCGGATAAACCTAAACCTACCGCTAGAGGGCGCCCTCCGCCCGAGGGGACCGCTGGGGCTCGGGCCAGGTGACCCCGCCCCCTCAAGCCCCGCCCCTGCAAGGTTCTTGAAGGACCCGAATTGGACTCGGCTTACGTGAGCGCTGCGTCACGTGAGGCCACCGTCCAATCACGGCGCGCGCTCGGCCCTGCCACTGGCTG